GTGGCACAAGTAGTAGAGCACTAGCCTTGAGCACAAAGAGGCTTAGGGACAGTGCACAGGCCCTGAGTTCAAGCCCTACAACGGAAAAGAAAAAGGAAGGAGGGAAGGAAAGAAGGAAGGAAGGAAGGAAAGAAAGGAGGAAAAAAAAGAAATCTGAGCTCAAAACGATTATGGTTCAAAGCCAGCCGGGCAGAAAAGTCCACCAGAGACTTTATCTTCAATTAACCAGCAAAAATGGTTATGGAAAGCTATGTGCCAGTGCTGTGGCTCACATATAATCTTAGCTACTCAGAAGGCTGAGATGTGAGGGTTGAGATTCAAAGACAGCCCAGGCAGACAAATCCTCAAGACTTTTATCTCCAATTAACTAGCAAAAAGCCAAGATGGAAGTCTGACTCAAGTGGTAGAATACCAGACTAGCAAGTCCAAACCTTAGTACCACAAAAAAAAAAAAATTCTTGACAGTTTTCAGTGTTGCCTATTTTACTTATTTAGGCACATATTGTTTATGAACATAAAAACAATCAAATTCCTACTAGTTAATAAGTAATTGACCAAGTTCTGCAGTGTTGCCTAGGACTAAGCCTAAATTTCCTTGGTAATGAGCAGAGCTGTTCAAAGTCATCCATGATCCAGGGACAAGTACAATTAATCCTTCTAAGTTCAACCTAGGTGGAATGTCTAGCATTACTCATGAAGAAATGCTAAGATTAATGTTTTTGGCTACACTGAGATTTGAACTCAGAACCTCATGTTTGCTATACCACTTGAGCCACACTCAGCCTTTTCTTTTCTTTTTTTTGCTTTAGTTATTTTTCAGATAAGGTTTTTCCATTGTGTCCGGTGCTGGCCTCAAATCACAGTTCTTTTACCCATGTCTCTAGGGTAGCTAGGCACAGATGCATGAAATCATACCTTGCTTATTTGTTGAGATGGAATCTCACTTTTTGCCTAGGCTACCCTCAAACCACAGGTTTTAAATATTTTTTGATGTCTTGATTATATTTTAAAACTTTGTTATAAAAAATACATTAAAAATCTAAATTATTTCTGTATGATAGTCTAATATGCCAAACTATCTTAAATATTACACATTTTTAACTAAGGCTACACAGATTTTTTTTCCCCTAAAGTTAATATAAAAGAAGGAATACTTGGGTTTGAGGTAACTCATCTTAATTCTAAACTATCTCATGATTACACACTTCACTCAGGAAAAAAAAAAAAAAAAGTTTACTAACCAAAGAAATACCAGGTTATTTATCCATGAAAATTTGGAATTAACTCATAATTGGCTGAGAGTGTTCAATAAGCAGAAATTTGGGATATGACCTGGAAGCCAAGGCCTGGACATTCCAGGAAATAGTTGCTTGGCCCCACACTGCGGGGCAGGCCTTGTTTATGATCTCCCTGCCAGTAGGGGGTGCCAGTGTTCCGCTGATGAAGTGGATTCTGCAGCCTAAGCCCCTGAAATCAGGGCATTCTGGTCACCTTTTGGTTCTTCTGAGCCTTATAGACCTATCAGGTGGCCCTGCCCACGTGGCTTCAGTGCCTGAGATGACACATTGAATTAATTTCCTTCTTGATTCAATTCTGAATTTGGTTTTCACTTTTCCTCTGACCAGCCACCAGTAACTGGAAGTGTTAGATGCCATGTCCAGATCCTGCATCTGCCTCAGAACCTTGCTCTGCTCTCTTTCAAACCCTGGTTCTGTCTAGATAGGTGTGCTCGTCATCATGCTCAGCCTGGGACCACTCTGTTCTTTTCAACGCTGCCCTACTCAGTGACAGTGACCACACACAGGACAGATAGATCCTTGTACCACTGTGTACTCTGCTGATGCAAAACACAACTAAAGGCTTCTACATCAGGATTCTAGAGCAGACTAAAAATAATCCGAGGAGAGTAGAGGCCAGGTGCTGGTGGCTCACGCCTGTAATCCTAGCTACTCAGGAGGCTGAGGTCTGAAGATCACAGTTTTCAAACTGATCCTACCTGCCAGCCTAGGTAGGAAAGTCCGTGAGACTCTTATCTCTAAATAACCACCAAAAGAAAAAACTGGAAGTGGAGCTATGGTTCAAGCGGTAGAGTACTAACCTTAAGCAAAATAAAGTTCAAGGATAGCACCCTGAGTTTAGGCCATAGGACTAGCACCAAAAAAAAAAAAAAAAAAAAAGACACTAAAAATCTGAGTATGTGTAATTTTACTTCTAAGTAAATAGAAAAATAATCATACCACTTAATCCTACCATGGCATGTGTTCTATGTACCTCCCCTCCAGTACTATAATCATACATTTCTTTTTTACAGTATAGGAATTTCTTTTTTTTTTTTTGTCCGGTTGTGGGGCCTGAACTCTGGGCTTGGGCGCTGTCCCTCAGCTCTTCAGCCCAAGGCTAGCGCTCTAGCACTTGAGCCACAACACCAGTTCCGGCTTTTTTTTTTCTTTTTGCTTATGTGGTGCTGAGGAATTGAACCCAGGGCCTCATGCATGCAAGGCAAGTGCTCTACCACTGAGCCACCTTCCCAGCCCCCAGTATAGGAATTTCAACTGAGGACTTCATGCTTGCAAGGCAGGTGCTCTGCCACTTGAACCACACACTCCAGCCCTTCTTTTGTCTTAGTTATATTTTTAGATAAGGCTTCATATTTTTGCCCAAGCTCGTCTAGATGTGTACTATACCATCATACTCAGCTTGTTGGTTGAGATGGAGTCTTGTTAAACAGCTTTTTGCCCTGGGTGGCCTTAGACCATGATCTTCCCAGTATCCACCTCACTGGTAACTAGGATTGCAGGCATGAGCCGCTGTACCAGGCTATAATCATTATAAATTTCTAAGTAACTATCATTATATCCGATGAGTCGATAACAAGCTTGGGTTCCAGAGAAATTATACCACCATGAGTTTAGAAAGCGTTCACAAGTAGAATTCTCAGTGGAACAGCTTTGGGAAGCAGGAAAGGGCTGAGGGTGTAGCTCAGTGGTAGTATACCTAGGCATGTCTTAAGGTCCTAGGTTCAATTCCCAGCACTGCCAAAAAGAAAAAGAAGCAGCCTCCTCCCTTCCCAGCCTCCCCCGACCCCGCACCAAAGTTGTAAAGATCGTTTTCGACATGACAACTTGTACTTCTCATAGTTACAAAGGGTCCACCTGTATCCTTAAACGACTTGTTTTTCCCCGTCTCCTCCACAAATTATACCGACATCAAATATAGTGAAAGCGGGGATTATACTGTGGGGGAGGGACATACAAAGCAACAAAGAAATAATCTTATAAATGAATTAGAAACAAATGCATGGAGGCTGCAATGCTTGATAAGAAATGTACTCATTATCTTGCCCATGTAATTGTAACCCCTCTGTACAGTATGTTCACAAAAAATTAAAATTAAAAAAAAGAAAGAAAAAGAAACAGCAGCTAAAATGCAAAGCCTGAAAGGGACTGTTAAAAGGCTAACGTAGTTCCAACCTTACTGACTTGGGTATCAGAGAGTAGAACCAAAGTGCAGGCTCTGTGATCTTATACTGAGTACCGGCTGGGGGTCAGGCACTCTAGAAGACCAGAAAGATCCAGACTCTAGTCCCTTCCCAGCCCTATCTTTGGGCCTCACTTCATCTACCAATCAGGGGTAATACAATCCTTCCTATGCATTTCACAGAGTTGCTGAATTGAGCTATGCAGAGAACTGACTTCGAATTCAGAATGTGCCTAGGTGCGCAAGAGCTTGTGATGTGGGCTGAGCACTGCCCACTCTCCAATGTGACCGTCAGCCTGGCCTGGGAGGAAGGACTGTGCATGCTAGACCACAGGACTCCACACTGGCCCAGTCTGAGTGTGGCAGTGTTTGCCTTTGGACGGTGTTTGCACAAATTCTCTGCTCTTGGGTGTCCTAGTGGTTGGTGTTGGTGGCTGTAGCAAAGCAGACCTGGAGGATTCTGGTGAGAGGCCTGGGCTCCTGACTGTAGTAAGTAAGCCCAGAAGCCTTGGACCAAGTGAAGGGGAGGGTCTGAGGAGAAACAGAAGAAGCAGAAATGGGGATGGAGGTAGGGACCAGGGCCTGGACACCTGACAGGATGTTTCAGTCAGTTACCTATCCAAGGGGGGTAGTGGGATGGTATAGGCAATAAGGGATACAGTGTCTAGAGAGAATTGAAAGACAAAATATCAAAAGTGATCTTTTCTTATGTTTTTGTACCCATCCTGGAGCATGAACCCAGGGTCTAGATACTGTCCATTAGAATTTTTTTTTCTCAAGACTGGCACTCTACCACTTGAACCACACTTCTGCCTCTGGCATTTTGCTAGTTAATTGGAATTAAGAATCTCATAGATTTTTCTGCCCAGGCTGGCTTCAAACCATGATCCTCAGACCTCAGCCTCCTGAGTAAGTAGGATTACAAAGATGAGCCACTGCTGCTTGGCTGTAATCTGTTCTTTATTATTTTGTGTTAACTGTTCTAAACAATATTAATGATAAAATACTTTTCCCCTTGAAGGGGAGGGGCAATGCCATTTCTACTGCCCTGTCTTTCTACCCCACTTAAGGATGGGGACCAGGAGAGAAAAGAAGCTTAGAAGGCCCTGAAAACAAGGATTGAGTAGACTGGCCAGTAGCGTGGTCCAAATGGATAGTTAAGATGGGACTCCAAGATGGGTGCCATCTTCAAGGAAGAAGTCCAGGCCTGGATGGAATGCAGGCTGAATGGGCTTTGGTGCCATGCTCCCTGGGTGACTTTGAGTCTAGAGGAAGTGCTATGTCACCTAAGTGCCACTTGCAGGTTATAATCAATTGGCAAACACATTGAATAGCTGAGTTGAGCCTCCCTAAATCCCCTGCCCCTGTTCTGTGCTCACACAGAAACCAGATTTCTTCCTGGCTCTCCAGCAGAGACGCCTTGCCCAGGCTAGCCAGGCCCAGGGCTCTTCAGGAATCTGTGTTCTACCCTATCCCTAGCCAGAACTCTGCCCTCACTGTGACCACCTCTCTCTCCTTTGCAGGAGCCCTGTCCCACCTGCCAGTGATTCACGTAAGAATCAAGGTCCTGTAGTCACAGAGCCAGACAAGGATCAAGGTCCTGTGGTCCCAGGGCTTCTGAAAGGTCAAAGTCCTATGGTCCAAGAACCTCTGAAGGATCAAGGCCCCATGGTCCTGGGACCTCCAAAGGATCGAGGTGCTGTGATCTCTGGGCCGCCAGAGAATCAGGGTCCTGTGGCCCCTGGGTCTCCAAAGGATCAAGGTGCTGTAGTCCCAGGGTGCCTGAAGGATCTAGGCCCCATGGCCCCAGTGCCAGTTAAAGAGCAAGATCACATGGTCCTTAAGCCTTTAAAGAATGAAGGTTCTGCCACTTCAGCACCAGCCAAGGACCAAGGTCCTTTAGTCCTAGAGCCTCTAAAGATTCAAAGTCCTATGATTCCAGCAAGAATTACGGATCCAGGTTCTGTGGTACCCGCACCTCTGAAAGATCAAGGTCCTGTGGCTCCTGAGCCTGGGAAGAATCAAGGTCCTCTGGTTCCAGCACCTGGTAAGGATCAAGGTCCTGCAGGCCCAGAGCGTCCAGAGGATCAGAGCATCCTGGTCATGGCACCTGTAAAGAATCAAGGTCCTGTGGTCTCTGAACCTATGAAGACTCAAGACTTTATAGTCCCAGAGCCAATCAAGAATCAAGATGTAGTGGCCCCTGAGCACCTGAAGGGATATGATTCTGTGCTAAAGAATCAAGGTCCTGTGGTCTCTGAGTCTGTGAAGATCCAAGACCCCATTGTCCCAACACTAGTTAAGGATCAAGGTCCCATGGTCCTAGAATCTCCAAAGAATCAAGCTCCTCTAATCTCTGAGCCTATGAAGACCCAAGTTCCTATCATCCCAGTGCCTCTGAAGGACCCAGATCCTCTGGTATCAGCACCAGCAAAGGACCAAGGTCCTGTGGTCCCTGACCCTCTGAAGACTCAAGGTCCCAGGGCCCCTCAACTGCCCACTGTCTCACCTCCACCCCCAGTCATGATCCCCACTGTCCCCCGTGCGGAATATATTGAGGGGTCTCCCTGATGTCCCCCCCCACACACACTTGACATGCCACCGAAGGAGCTGCCCGTGAACTGCTCCCTCCCATGGGGGTGGGGAACAGAGTCACAAATATTTAATCTGCATGAAGCCAAAGCCGTGCTGTATCGTTGTGCTGGAGTCTAATAAAAGTGTTCCCTCAGCTTAGCAGTGTCTCTGTCTGGCTCTGTGGGAGAGGGACACACGTGTGGGCAAAAACACACCTTCTCCAGAGAGCGCAGCTCTGTGGTCCCCAGCCAGGGGCCAGCAGAGTCTTTAAGAGATGCCTGTTCCTGTGATTGGTCTAAATAAGAAGGAAGCAGGCAGGGGATGGTGGGAGGACAAGGAGGAGGCCTCTGCAAAAGGAGGTAGAGGAAGCAAAGGCAGAGCCTGGGCCAGGCACCAAACTCCTGCAGCCTGAGCATTGGGTGAGTCAGGGTTGAAGCTGTGAATGAGAGAAACAGGGGCCCAGTCAGCCCTCGGGAATTGTGAGTGACAGATGTGTGCCACAGGCCCAGTCTTAAAGCACATCCAGGACTCAACCTTCTTGATCATGACTCTCAAGACAAACCTAAAGTGTGCTGTTCTCTCATTCAGTGTCCATGACAGCTCGGCATGGGAATTCTGAAGAATGCCTTGAGCTGTGGGGGAGTTTTGTTTTGTCTTGTTGGAGTCAGGGTCCTGTCCTGATAGGTAGCCCAGGCTGGCTTAGAACTTATGGTCTTCCTGCTTCAGCCTCCTGAGAGACAGGATTGATTAGGTGTGCATCCCTATACTCAGTCAAATGAGCTTTTTTTTGGGGGGGGAGGATGGGTTTTAGATCTTGAACTCAGGGCCTGGACATTGTCCCTGAGCTCTGTTTGCCCAAAGCTTAGTGTTCTACCACTTTGAGCCACACCTTCACTTCTGGTTTTTAGGTGATTAAATGAAGACAAGAGTCTCACAGACTTTGCTGCCCAGGCTGGCTTCAAACCATGATCCTCAGATCTCAGCCTCCTGAGCAGCTAGGATTATAGGCATGAGACTCCAGCACCTGACCTGAAATAAGATTTTAAAAATAAAATTTAAATTAAGAACAGTCCCCTAGGGCTGGGAGGGTGGCTCGGTGGTAGAGTGCTTGCCTTGCATGCATGAGGCCCTGTCGATTCCTCAGCACCACAGAAGCAGAAAAAGCCGGAAGTGGCGCTGTGGCTCAAGTGGTAGAGCGCTAACCTTGAGCTGAAGAGTTGAGGGACAGCACTCAGGCCCAGAGTTCAGGCCCCATGACCAGCAAAAAAAAGAAGAAGAAGAAGAACAGTCCCCTATTCATGTATACGTGCAATCTCTTTGTCTTAGCACCTACTTTTACACCAGGACTCGGGCTACTGAAGCAAAGAATCCCAGTCTTAAAATGCAAGTGGGCAGAAACTCTAGAACAAGTGAAAGCTTGGCTTCAAGAGGGCAGTAGAGAATATACACCTGTGGTGGCAGCCAGGAAAGCTTCCTGAAGAAAATGACAGTGGCCTGACACGGTGCTGGACAGCCCAGACCAGCAGTGGAAATGGACAATGTGGGTAGCTAGAGGGCCAGAGTCAAGCCCTCTTCTGAAGGTCCACAGATGAAAAGCATCTGGCTTGCATGAGAACGTAACTAAGAAGTGGGCAGTTCTCTGGGACTAATCAGAGGTGATTAGTTGTATAAGGCCTGGATATGGGGAACGGAGCAGTCAACCCTAAGCTGACCACATGCACATGGTGTTGGCACAACACACAGCCAGCCAGGGGGAGAAAGCCTGGACCTCTGTCAGCAGGCCTGAAGCTTAAGCCTGAGCTGTCAGAAACAGTATGAGCCTCAAGGCCATGTGATTGTCTCCTTTTGTTTTTGTTTCTGTTTTTGTTTTCTGGTTCTGAAACTGAGGTTTGGACAGGGTCTGGATGCTGCCTTGAGCAGTTTTGCTCAAGGCTAGCACTCTATCCCTGGAATCACAACTCTATTTCTGCCTTGTGGGTAGTTAATGGGTGATAAGAGTCTCACTGACTTTCCTCTGTGGGCTGGCTTCAAACCTCAGTCCTCACATCTTAACCTCCTGAATAGCTAGGATTCCAGGCCAGTGCCTGGGTGTAGCATCCCTTTTAAAGCAAAGAAGGAAGGCCTTTGGAAGGAGACCAGGGCTCAGAGCCTCTCATTCTGAGCTGAGGCAAGTAAAGGCAGGAAATGGGCTCCTAGTGTCTTCTTCCTTTCTGCTGTGGCCATTTCCTGGCCTCTCTGCAGAACCCACTGTCCCTGGTCCTGCACAGGGCCTGTGGGCCCTCCCTGCAGCAAGAGAAGAAACCTGACTGGCCTGCAGGCTTCCCCAGCCCCCAGCCCCAGGCATGCACAGAGGATGGAAGGATATTGGAGGATGGAAGCAGAAGCTCACTTCTGGTCCAGGGGAAAATCCAATCAGCCAAGACTGATTGCTGAGATAGGGTGAGTGACCAGCAAATCAGAGGGGACAAAATCTCATCTCCAAGTTGCTAGGATATCCTGTCCACTACTCTCCAGTGGTTATCATCCAGGAATCGCCTCAATGGGCAGCAGTAGGGCCAGTAGCCATCTGCGCATATGCACATACTCAAGTCCCCAATTTGTCCCTGCCCCGCAGGTCCCTCGGTCTCCATGGGCCTGGACTTCCACTCCACTCCTTGTGCACCTGCCTGTAGGAACAAAGAAAGGAAGGATTCTGGATGCAAGTGTGAGAAAGAAGCCTTAGGATCGGGAGGCATGGAGCATCCTCTACCTAAAGTGTGTGGTGGTGAGGGCTGGAGCCATCTGAAGGCCAGGCTGCAATCTTATTCCTTTATTCCCTCCCACAAAGATCTCCATCCAACATACCTGGAGCCCTGCCATGCCTGGACACCTGTGGTCCTTTGTAGGGATGTGTGGATAGGAGGCTAGGACGGGACACTTTCAGAGTCTTTCTTGCAGAATGTACGGATCAATTAGAAAAAAAGGATGGGAATGCACATCATGGCTGACCTAGTTCTTACCAGCACCAATATCCCACCCTCCCCTTCCAAACCATCACTAAGATCTGTTTACTCTTCCAGTTAATGAAACAATGAATCTGCTATCTGTCTCCATGGCAACGCCCTCCTCCCCCACGCACAGCAGAGCACCATTCTGGATCACCGCATCATGCATTCATTACAGGTGAAAGAAATGCCACCTGTGGTTTGTGCTTCTATTACAGAGATGAAGGCTCACCTTAGAAGGCTGTCCCCATTGTTGTACCCCACAACTTTTCTTTCTAGTTATTTATGGATTCGCATTTGCCAAAGACACCTGTGGGTTCAACTATGCTGATTACCAATAAAGGGTGGTAGTCTCGGGTGTGCTGTTTGTCTTCTGCTCCCCTGGGATCCCATCATTCCATGGAAAATCACGCAGCTTGTTTCCATGGCAGAAAACCTGCCTCCCAAGCCTGCAGAGAAAAAGCATTGCATTGTGTTTCAAAGATGTCTTTCTGGTGCCTTGGTGATGGGAGTGTCTGTCAGGCTCTGGAGGACAAAGACAGGGAGCCAGGCATGGTGGTGCAAATCTTCATGTGCCTGCAGTCCCAGCTAGGTGGCAAAGAAGAGCCCAGCCTAACGCTGGCCTGAGAAAAAAACTTGAGACCCTATCTGAAAAACACAAAGCAAAAAGGGCTGGGAGTATGACTGATGTGGTAGAACACCTGTCTAGGCAAGAGCTAGGCCTTGAGTTAAAGCCCTAGTACCACCAAAATTAAAAGAGAAAAAGAGCATGTGAGGGGTGTAGAACTTAGGCAGTGGCTGAGACCAAGGGGCCTAAAAAAGCCAACATGAAGCATGTAGACAGATCCCAGCAGTCCCCTTAACCCCCAAAGTCCAATGAATGTAGACAAGGTCAGTCTTTGAAGGACATATTGTTATAAGCTGCTAATTGTGTAGTGGCTTGTTACTCCACAACAAACAGGGTAATGTCCAGGGCAAGGTCAATGCAAGCTCTTGACCTTCAAATAAAGCAAAAAGAGGAGTGACTATTCTCACTGTCAGGAATCCCAGCAGAGTTAGGGCTAAGGGGGTGACTAAATCATCCCACTCTTCCGTATGTCTCTCCTAATTCTCACTGAGATAGGTACCTTAAATTTCCCCAGAAAGCTAGCAGTGCTGTGAGTGCAAATGATCAACTGATAATGTGATTTGGTGGCTGCAGTATGAAACTCCTGTCCTAGAATGTGGCTTAACACATGCTTTCTATTTCCTTTCCTTTCCTGTGTGAAGTGTAATCTTTGATTCCACCAGGGGTGGGTGAATTGAATGACCTGGATAAGGAAAGAGTAAGCACTGTTTTGGCTGGGTGCTGATGACTCACACCTGTAACCTGAGCTACTCAGGAAGCTGAGATTTGAGGATCATAGTTCCGAGTCAGCCCAGACAGGAAAGTCCTGAGAACCTTATTTCCAGTTCACTACTCAAAAAGCCAGAAGTAGAGCAGTGATTTAAATGGTAGAGAGCTAGCCTTGAGCAAAAAAAAGCTAAGGGACAGTGCCCAGGCCCTGAGTTCAAGCCCTAGTACTGGCACTAAATAATAATCATAATTGCTGCCCTGTCTAAGCAGGTACGCTTTGTATGCACAAACACATTGCTCTTCCTGGGTGGCCAGGGAGGGCCACAGATGAGACACTGGACATTAGTTTGTTGTAGTATTAATGTTGATTGCACACATTCATGTCACACTGGGAAAAAGGATGTGAGCTGGCAGTAAGCTATGTGCAGGACTGAATTGGAGGTGGAGGTCTTTGGGATAGGCCTGGAAAGGTGAAGAGGCTCTACAGACAGCAATGGGGAATGCCAGGCCAAGCAGAGTGGGTAGGAAGTGGCAATGGACTGCAGAGGGAGTAGAAGTAGCCAGAAAGGAGGTGGAGGAGGGGAACTGGAGGAGATCCTACCATGTCCAGCCCACCACCTCACTGTGTTCCCAACTTGCTCTGGGCATCCACAATTCTTTGTTCCAGTGGTCCCTCTCATCTGGAATGCTTCTTGCTTTTCTATCCAGCTCTAGTACTCCACTTTTAGCACTTTCCCCTACACTTCAGCCCAAGCTGAACCTGAGGCACTGTGGCATAATGGAAAGAATCAGACTGTGAAGTCAGGGCATGAAGGCTCATGCCC